GGGCTGTAAAGGCAAAGTAATTTTACGAGTCCATTTATAAATTCTTTAATCAGAGAAGGAGAGACCATGCTCTGAAACCCGAGAGGCACTCATCTCCTGCTGTTGTTCGTTCCTCCTCCTCTCAATCCCTGAAAAGACCCCTTTCTCCCATTTTCTCGATATGAAACTCTGAAAATCAACCTTTTCCGCCTCTCGTCCTCCTGTCCCATGCTTTATTTTCGGGTGCAGTGGTAATGATCAGACTGCGTATTATTTTAGATCTTAGTTCCTTTCATTATGTCCTTGTTAGATCATGACTATTAAACTAACTCCTTCATTTTATTGTTTCTTCTTTTCTCTCCATACAGGTTCTTTGTTAGAGACAGAGAGGGGAGCAATGACAATAAGTCGCCGTCTGAATATTGCCGAAAAAATCATCATATGTTGTTACGATTCCATAATAGGTGTTGTGGAACCCTACGTCATATGATGGTTTTTTTGTGCTATATTGACGCGTACACGTTGATCATGCTCCGAAAATATATACAAGAGGGAAAAGTTGCCATATGTATAGTATAAAAGTGGGAGGGAAAGTACATTGTTTTGTTTTTCAAGATTTGTACTTTTAGTGTTTGAGATCTTATTAGATCGGCGAGGGATCTTTCACTCAATAAAAATACTGTAGTTTATTTCTTGATTACTAACTCCATTTTCAGAAGTCTTTCACTACTGGGCCAACAATATTTTTTCCGGATTTCGAACTCTGCTCCTCTGTTGCCGCATGCTCTTGTCATTTCACGCCTAAAATAATAAAGTGAAATGGAAAAAGGAAAATTTTCATATCATAATTTTAGTATCCAATATTAAATAAATTTATAAACAAGTAAAAAATACGATATAATAATTCAATAAAAAAACGAGTGCTTAAAATTATTCAACTGAAATGTTGCACATGATCTATTTAGGGAGCAACCTCCATATCGAATTAAATCAAATCCATCCGTACTATTCAGAATTCAATCAACAAACATCTAATTGCAAGACATCCGATTGAAGAACACAGAATGCAGCAGTCTTCTTATAAACCAAACAGACACATAAATAAAACAACACCGCAGAAGGCAACAACCTTCTTATAAACCAAACAGACACATAAATAAAACGACACCGCAGAAGGCAGTAGTCTTCTTATAAACCAGCAGTCTTCTTATAAACCAAAGAGACACATAAATGAAACGACACCGCAGAAGGAAGCAGTCTTCTTATAAACCAAACGACGCCGCTTCAAGCTGACAGTGGCAGTCTTCACATAATCCTAATCCGAATAGGATAAGGACTTCCATCTTCACTTCAAGTTTTCAAAACTGATCAAATACTTGCAGCCCTTTTACACACGCATTCCGAAGAACTCAAGTGTCTAAAACTCTGGTCCTTAGGTTGCTACTTCTGGTAACAGGCCTCTTCTGCAAAATCGATAACGACGATTTTTATCGGACAAAAATATTGGATGCAACTGCATTGTGTACACACGAACAATTATATTTTATTCTTACCGTAGGTTGCTCGTAATCGTCGTCATCGTTGTGAGAATCAACATCATCGTCATTTTCAACATCGGATGGCCCAGACCCAGTACACTTTCTTGCATTATGATTGGTAGAACCGCACTTACTGCAATGCTTTTGCCTTCTCTTCGATACTGTTTCCGACTGATTTTGAGTGGTGGGAGGATCAACATCGGTGTCATCGCCACCTTCTTCCGAAACACCAGCATTCGGGGCATCACCGTTTGAGGTTGGCTTCACATAGCCAACAGGATGTGGGCATCGGGTCCTATAGTGGCGCCATTCCCCGCAATTACTACACTGTCGTGGTTCTCCTTTCTTCCTTTTAGATTTTTTAGCCCCCGAACCTTTAGCTTTGACCTGTAATGGATCCAAAAAAATATCATTCGCCTTCGGTCTATTAATGTCGGGTATGTCCATGTTGCCAGTGTCCACCATGTCCAGCTTTTCACATAATGATTGAATTTCCTCACGAGCAATCTTGAAGCACTCACTAGATTTTGCCCCTTTTAACATTAGTTGTAAGCTGTTTTGTTGAATAGTACCATACCTGATTGACACAATATTTTATACAAAGTGAGTAAAATTAACGTTCACCTAGCTTCGAACCAATATTAAAAAAAATTGATAGTCATGGCAAACCTCAATGCAAAAAGTTGTGATTCATCTATTATGTCTCGTTCCTCCAAGCTCTCTAGTGTCTTCGGCTTCTTTGACCATCTTCGACGTACTAGGCCTTCAGGAAGTTCCAGTATGCTCTCTTCTTTCAGTACAAAAATCGTATGACGGCATGGTATTCCCATATAATCGTAGTGATTACAACTACACTCCATTGCAAAGGGTTCAACTGTGTACGTGACTTGAAAAACCTTATCCATGCCAGACACCTTGACCTTGTACACACGCTCAATTTCCAATTGCTCTGACTCCACCCTTATGCAACATGCCGACTTTTTAACCTCGTCTCTTAATAAGAAGAATGTGTTCTTTGTGAAAACCGCCGCTCCACTCTTCTGAAGTGAGACCAAGACATTGCTTGTGATGGTTCGTTCTCGATAAATGGATTCAAAATCAGCATGACACTCATTCTCCCTCATATCCCTAGTCCAACGATCAAAGTGAACTCAAGGAGATTTTTATCCTTCTCGATATAATTGGCAAGTTGAGAGTTCAGTCCTTCACATCTTGATGTTGTACTCAAGGCTGCGAAGAACTTCGAAAGCAAATATGCAAACCCCCATTCATGTCTTTGCGCAAATAAATTGGAGACCCAATTGTTGTGCTGAAGGGACCATTCCTCAACCACTGATTTCCACTTTTCTTCGAATTCTGAAGGTTTCCAATCAGCTAACACAAAATGCTTCCATCGGGGCAAAAGAGTAGGATGATTCTTCACATGTCTGGTTATAGTCTTGTCTATATGCCAGGAACATAGACGATGTGTTGCATCGGGAAATACTTTATGAATTGCATTACGCATTGCTTTATCCCCATTTGTAATAACAGTCTTGGGATTTACACCGCCTAGCCTTCTCTTTAAAGCTCCCAACACCCAAATATAATTTTCCACTCTCTCGTTAGCCAAGAAAGCACATGCAAATACGCAAGTTTGCGAATGGTGGTTGACACCTAAAAAGTACAAAATAAGTTAGATTATGCAAACTGCTATGGTTATTTTAGCATGCTAGGATAATTCTATGTGTGAAGGAAAAGCACCTGAAAAAATCACGAGAGGCATCTGGTAAATGTTCCTTTTGTAAGTAGAATCGAATGACAGTAATTTTCCAAAGCATGCATAATCAGCAACAGAAACACTATCGGCCCACAAGATGTTAATAAGCCGGTCGTCGTCATCCTTATTTAGTTCAATAACGAAATGATCGTCCGCGCTGCATTTAGCTTGCAGGTAGGCTAGGGCTGTTGCGGCATCACCTTCACTAATTTGTTCTTTCCTCTCTTTGTCCACATAATTATATGCATCCTTCCTCGTGTACCCCAAATCGTCATAGCCTCCTGCTTCTTATACGGCCAGATTCACAATTTGAGAAGTTTTCATCCTGCAGCTCTTCTAAAATTTATCGTTGCTTTGAATGCATCACTCATACGACGTTTCCCTTTCATGTAGTGTCTATATTCTCTGGGGATCGTTTCATGTGTGTTTACATCATCAAACTGGTGCACATACCACTTCCCATCGACCTTGTCGTGTTTAACACTCATCTTGGCTGCAGTTAAATCTGGTCTCCCCTCTTGCTTCTCTCTTTCGTTCTGTGCTTTTCATGCGCCTCTTTCCCTCACCAGAGCATAAATAGTCACGCCATATCATAACTTGGTTCTTATCACGACCAATGCCTGATTTTCTGATGTCAAAGCCTTTGACTAACCCGTAGTCCATGTAGAAATCATAGGCTTCTTCTGTATCATCGAACTTTATTTTTTTAATATCTTAAGGCTGTAGAAATATGAGATCGGCGACATTATCTTCCTAGGTGGTGTGACTGGCTCCGACACCATCGTTTTCTTGGACTGGCTCCGACGTCAATAGTAGGACTGCCTCCGACGTCAATGGTGGGTCTGCCTCCGACGTCATTGTCACTGCGGGAAATTTTGGGGAACCAACGATGTAGATTACAAAACTCTACCGGGAATGATGGCTGAATTAATGCTTGAATGGGCCACTTAATAATTATCCCCATTAAACCGAATCATAACACGATTTTTGATATCTTATTTTTTTTGTAGGAACGATTTGAACTTTCTATTCTTTATCTTAGTGATTTCTTTACCATTTTCAGAAATAATGAAAATATTTAAAATGAAAAGGAATGCTTAGTAAAGCCAAACACCAACTGACTCTATCTGTGTACTACGTGTATGGGGAAGGATCAAATATTAATATGAGCGAATATTTACTAATAGCACTCTATTTTTTATTCAATCGAAAAACAAAATATATTTTTATTTTTAGGTTTAATAACTACCCATGTTTATCCCAAGTTCATGTACCTTAGACTAAACCCTAACTATTTTTCCGCGGGAAGAATATGTTGCCACAATTTATCTCTATAACCTTGTATTATAATTAATCTTCAGCGGTAGAGCAGTGGTTCCATATCCAAGCTTGTGGTATGTCTAATAGCTCTTTAACCATTAAAATTTATTCTAGTTAATTTATTAATCATAGGTTCACTGTCATTGAAGGAGACCCACGAATTTGTGACTCCAACAAAGAAACCAAGGATACCCAAAGGTGTAAGCTCTCCATCCACTCCTGCTTCAGTCATCGTTTTTATTTCGGACGATGAATCTGACTGTGAGGTAACACCAAAGAAGCCAAATGGAAAAAGTATTTCCCTAAGTTCTGTTGACAAGGTAATAAAGGTGTCCTATTTGCCATTGAAGTGTTCTTTGCCGTTATTCCGTCAGACATAACGAATGCATTTCGACTCGTGTTTATTTGTGGTCCTTATTCCATGTTGTTTTGAAGTTTAAGCTACCTACTGGTATGGAATACGATGATGAGCAAATCCAGCTTGCTCACTATATATTTTTAGCCAATTTGCCACCTGACGAAGTATTGGTCAAAACCTCAAACAACTCTTGTACCAGGAAGTCATTGTGGTCCTTAAGCCTTCGTTCATTCGTAGATGCTGAAGTAATCTACGGAAATCCAAAATTTTGTTTTGTTTGTCTACTATCAATGCTTTCTACGTAGAATTATTCTGTAAAAAATCTATAGTATCATGAAGTGTTTTTTGTCCATGTTATATTAGGTTATAACAGCGGTGGCCTGTCACTTGACTCTAGAAGAGTTGTGGACAAATTCTAAGGACGGAAAAGGAGTGTGCTATCTGCCTGCTGAACTACAGGTTGTGGTCCGATTTTGCTTAAGATTAATTTCCTGTCACCAAAAAAATACAACACATGTTTTTTTAACGTGAATGATATTGTGTTGACAAAATTTCAATTGTGCAACTACCACATGGGCAGGAACTAGTGATTTCATGTGGAATAACACCCAAGAGGGCATTAGACCTATACGAATCAAAATTCCTTAGTCGAACCAATATGGTGAACAAGGTAAATTGTTCGTCTTAATAAGTATTACATGGTTTGCAGTTTATTTTTTTAATACGTGTTGACAATTTCCGCATATGTAGGTGTGTGTTCCGATGAGAGATAATGTCCATTGGTTCTTGGTTTTCATTAAGTTGGACAAGGAAGAAGTCCATATCTTGGATACACAACCAACTGAAGACCGCAATTCCTTTCGACTACAATCTGTTCAAACAATGGTAAATTTTTGACATTGTGCCGTTATAACGCAAAAAAATGTAAATACCTCTTTCTAAATACAAACGTTTCTTAATTTGTACAGATGAGATTTATGCAAGCCTTGTGGAAGATTCTCTATCGTGAACAAGGTCCGGGATTGTCGCCACCAAGGATTGCGGAGTTTTCGTACACAAATCCTTCAAAGGATCAAGAACAACTACATTGGTCAGTATGTCCAATTTTGTGTGATATTAAACGACGGCTTATCAACTTGTTTATCATGCAATGCTTTCATTTTATGTAGGTCTGACAGTAGAGTCTAGGTCTGCATGTGGATGTATGGCGCAAGCTGGGGACTCCTCTTATATTTGGGTAAAGACAATTCTAGTTCGCATATTGGAAGACCACACTTGTTTGGGACGTAGCCAGGGATAACAAAGACAACCAAAAACACGAAGTTTATAATAGCGGTGGAAAAAGTAAAGGACCATAATGAAGTGGGGAGTTTGGCATGGTGAAGAAGAGTGTTACCAATTTCAACCAAATGACGGTGTTTGCACTCAGCAAGACCATTATGTTTAGGTGTATGAGGGTGAGGTGAGAAGATGGGTTATGCCATTATGGAGCAAATCATAGTGCAACTTTTGGAATTCCCCACCACCATCCGTGTATAAACGACGAATAGTGGTAGAAAAATAATTTTCAACCATTTTCCTGAAATCGAGAAAAACTTGGAGAACATCAGATTTACGACGTAAAGGATAATACCAAGTATATCGAGTAAAATGATCAATGATGACTAAATAATAGCAATAACCATCAATGGAAGTAACAGTAGCTAGTCCCCAAACATCCGTATATAAGAGGTCAAAAGGACGCATACTAGATAAATAAGAGACAGAAAAGGGCAGTTTGTGACTTTTATTAGAAAGACAAGCATCACAGGAAGAACTAGCTACCGTTGATGAAACTGGAAGGGAATATGAGCGAAGAAGACTGGTAAGAGAGTGATGATAAGGATGACCAAGACGAGCGTGCCAAGCATCAGCACTCGTCCGGGTAGTAACCAAGGCCATTCGAACTTTGTCCACATCGCGACGCAGTTCATAGACGTCACCGTTGTTTTCCCCCCTCAGCAGATGCGCCCCTGTGCGAAGATCCTTCACAAGAAAATGAGTGGCGAAAAATTCCACCGAGAGAGGATTAGCTTTGCATAATTGAGCAACCGAAATAAGATGTCGTTTGATGTTAGGCACACATAATATGTCATTCAAATAAAAATGAGTGTGGCTGAAAGGAAGAGTTGAAGAACCAATATGGGAAATGGTCAAACCTGAACCATCACCAACAATAATCTCATCCGGGCCCATATAATCAGAATAAAGAGAATGGCCCAAATCTGAAGTCACATGGTGAGTGGCAGCTGTATCCATAAGGCCAAGGCCCATATGAAGGAGCTGAGCCCAAAACACAGGTGGTATGATGAGCCTGAGCCTGGCGGGCTTGATTAAATGCCAGACGGGCCTGAGGAAATAATTTAAAACATTGGCGGACCGAGTGGCCCGGTTGCTCACAATATTGGCAGACGATCATGGGCTTCCTTAGGCGAGTGGGCTCCGATAAATGAAGTGGGTCGTTGGAAGAGGGAGTTGGGCGCCCTGTCTGCTCAAAGGGTAATGGGCCATGGGAAGATGATCCTAGGCACTGATCAATGCCCACTGCAGTAGGTGAATGGCGGGTGGAATTATTTCGACCAGAGTGGCCGCCGCCACCTTGAAACAAAGGAGCGCCGCTGTTGCCACGACGGGAGGGCCCGGTGGTGAAGAAGGTTGTGGGAACAGCCGTTATACGTTGCTATTCTTTGAGATCAGCCTCGTACTCGATCAAGGAATCCAAAAGATCTTCAATGGTGACATTGGTGCCCCGAGCACGAACTGTCGCTGTAAATTGATTATAATCAGGACCCAGATCTCGAAGGGTATGAACAACGAGATCCAAATCCGACACTGGAGAATCCACAAGAGTGAGTTCAGCAGCAATAAGCTTCATGTCATTAACATAGGTAAGGACATCACTACTGCCCTTGGTGGTACGATTCAATTTCCCTTTCAGATTAATTAGGCGGGATTGAGAGCGATTGGCATATAGCATTTCCAGAATGTACCAAGCATCACGGGATGTGGCCGCAGCAGATACGTACGAATACAGAGACTCGGAAATAGAGCAGCGAAGAGCGTGAAGAATGAGTTTATCTTGCCGATACCGACGACGGAAGTCAGGATTGGGAGTTGAGGAACCGTCCATAGTGACCGTCTGAGGAGGAGGGACGCCAGTGCAGTCAATAAAATGAATGAGCTCCAAACCCATAAGCAGGGTTTCCAGTTGAGACCGCCATGAATTGAAATTGGTCGAGGACAATTTTAGCGACAGCTGCACAGCGGGATTAAATGTGATGATGGCATCTTCAGAAACAGCAGCGGCAACAGAGGTGGGGACTGCTTTGTTCGACATAGTGCGGTAGTGAAGAGAAGAAGAAGAAGAAGAAGAAGGCTACTGTTGAGAGATTTGAGAAGGAGAACAATAGATGGATCAAGGCTGTTGAGGAGATGGATCAAGGCTGACTTATCTTGGCCAGCTCTGATACCATGATAGAAGTCTTGAAGAATTGTATTATTGTGAAAAACTAACTTAATTACATTGAGATTCTCTACCGCTAATTATACACATATAGTGGAGCAATTGTAGCAACAGAAGCAGCCCATGTTCATCAAAGATAGGAACAGCAGAGTGAGGGAGAGAGGGATAACAGAAGAGTGGGGATAAAAATAATAAAAGAAATAAAATTCTTTTATTAATTATCTCTAATAAATAATACCTCAATCCTTGAATTAATCACTACCCACTGACAATCATTCAATCTAAACAGGTAATTACAAAGTATTAGTTAGGGATCTACAACACCCAAGAGAAAAGAGTGAGTTTCTAGAGAGAGAGAGACAGAGATTACAAATTTGAGCTCAAGATCTTCTTCTTCTAGGATTGAATCTTCCACCCAAGCCTCCAATGATGCTCCAAGATCACTCTAGCACTCTCTCTCTCTCTCTCTCTCTCTCTCTCTCTCTCTCTCTCACACACACACACACACACACACACACACACACTAGAACTCCCCTTTAGTGTTTAGGTTGAAACCCTAGAGAAAGAAAGTGTTTCTTGTCCCAAAAACCAGCTCCACTTTCTCTCTCCCTGCTGTTGTCTTCATATTTGCCCGAAAGCGACCAGTTCACGGTCGTGAACACCTAAACACGTCCATGAACTCAGCGTTGTCTAAAACGCACCGCCTCACTGTCCTGGGTTCACGGTCAATGGCCACAGTTCACAGTCTTAGAGACCGTAAACTGCCTTGTCGTCAGTAACTTCAGGAACCTCGCTGGACGCCTCGGTGTTCATGGTTTGTGGTCGAAGTTCACGGTCTTAGGAGACCGTGAACTGCCTCGTCCCGCCGTGATCTATGGTTGTTTCTTGGACGCCTTCAATTCACTACCACGGGGCAATTGTCATGGACTTCGGACTTTCCTTCGGTTTTTGCGCTTTTTGACCTCCAAATATCTCAAAACTCGTCCTCGACCCTTCCACACGTGCTAGGACCTGAAATGTACCAAACAAGCACAACCTAGCGTAAATATGTCGAGGAACGATGAAATACTAAGCTGAACGATGAAATACTAAGAAATGAGGGACAAAATGTGTACATTTGAGCCCGAATCAAAGTATTTTAAGGGTTTAGAAAGACTTTTAATTACCTTTACTGTGGTAACAAGGAGACCACAATGGTCAGACAACCCAGGGCTGATAGGACAAGCAGAACTAGAATTATAAATATCAATCCACAGGACATTAACCAATACTCTATCGATTCTCTTGGCAATAGGGTTGTGCTCTTAAAATATTCTGGAAGATTTATATAACACTATTGTATAAGCATTATATAAATTATAAATACATTAAGTAAAACTTACAAATAAATAGTAATTCCTGATGTATCAGTAAAGCATAGTATAGTTATAAGACTTCCGTAGTGATAAAGAAACTATGTAAAGCTTTGGATAGATCGTAATTTCTAACTTATATTATGAAAGATTATGTATTATATTTATTTAATTTCTAAATAAAATTTAGAAATTATAAGTTTGAATGAAATTTTCTAAATTATAATCAAGCTGTTGACCATCTCATCAATTTGTGCACTACACAAAGGTTTTGGAATGTCAGTTAATTTTACAGAATATTTTAATCAAATGTGATACTTTTTATAATTTAATTCACTTATTACTAAATAAAATTCCTTCATTATTGACTACAACATTCACTATCTCATCAATTTGTAGTATGCAATGGTTTTGTAAGATAAGTTAATTTTACATAATAGTTTCATCAAATGTGAAAATTATTCATTATTTTGTTTTGTTATAATTAGGCCACAAATTACAGAAGATTTATGTATCATTATTGTATAATAATTACATCAATTAAAAGTACATTAAATAAGCATTATGAAGGAATATTTATTCTCATATATCAATTGATGAATGTAATACATGGAGTCTTCCATGATAATCAAGACATTATGAAAATATTTTATCCAAATTATTTTGTGAATTATTTTATTTTAATTAAAATAATAAATAAGTAGATGAAATTTTAAATATAAGTAGTTTCTTACTAATGCGAAGCCAGGGGCAAAAAACTAATTTTAGATTAAAGACGCTTCAGAT